CAGAAAAAAGTGACTTCTAGGTTCTACTATATCACAAGACCTAAAATGGACACCTAACATCAAAAACGTCATCAAAAAAGCACAACAAAGGATGTTCTTTCTGCGCCAACTCAGAAAGCTCAAACTGCCCAAGGAGCTGCTGATCCAGTTTTACAGAGGAATGATGGAGTCTGTCATCTGCACCTCTATAACTGTCTGGTTTGGCTCTGCAACCCGACAAGACAGACATAGACTTCAGAGGATAATTAGGACTGCAGAAAATACAATGGCTAACAACCTGCCTTCAATCAAGGACCTGCACGCTGCACAAGTCAAAAAGAGGACTGTGAAAATATCTACAGACCCCTCACATCCCGGACATAAACTGTTTCCCCTCAAAAAACACGCTATAGAGCCCTATACACCAGAACAACTAGATGCAAGGGGAGTTTTTTCCCCAAACACCATCACTCTGCTAAACAAATAATTCCCTCAACACTATCCAACTATTGACAAAGTCTGCACTACTATCACTATCAATCTTCTCCTCACTCATCATCATCCATCCCCTCCCACTTATGACTGTAACTTTGTGGCTTGTATCCTTACGATTTATACTGTTTCCTAGTACGATTTGATTGCTTATTGTACCCTATGACTATCATTAAGTGCTGGACCTTATGATTCTTGACTCTTGATGAATGTATCTTTCCTTGTATGTATACTGAGAACATTTGCACGAAGACAAATTCCTTGTGTGTCCAACCACACTTGGCCAATAAAGAATTCTATCTATCATCAAAAAAAAGACTTATGACCCTTTTCCACCCTGGCGATCATTGCAACATCCCCACCACGGTCACTTGAGCAAAATGTGGATGCTTTGGGAACTGACTTGTACTTATGATGGTCGCAGTGTCTTGGGGTCACGTGATCCCCTTGTGTGACCATCTGACAAGCAAAGTGCATGGGGAGAAGCAGGCAGATTCATTTAGCAATCGTGTTACTAACTTATCAGCTGCAGGGATTCACTTAACACCTCTGGGAAGAAAGGTCATAGAAAGAAGCAAAACTCACTTAACAAATGTCTCACTCAGGAACAGAAACTTTGGGCCCCAAGGTGAGAATTACCTGCTCACAAAAGGTTAACTAAAAACAGTGTTTCTAAACCAGGGGCCTCCAACCTTGGCAACTTGAAGACTTGTGGACTTCAACTCCCAGAATTCCTCAGCCAGACTTTGCCTTTCCTGGCTTTGCTGGCTGAGGAATTCTGGGAGTTGAAGTCCACAAGTCTGTAAAGTTGCCAAGGTTGGAGGCCCCTGTTCTAAACCTTGGTCACTTGAAGATGTGTGGACTCCGACTCCCAGAATTCCCCAGCCAGGAAAGTTGAAGTCCACACACATCAGGAAGTAGCCAAGGTTGAAAAACACAGGTCTAAACCTGGCATCCAAAATATTCCTTGCCTGGCTGGCCACTGATCAATGTAAATCCGCACAAAGGCTGTCCTGCAAGGCCAAAGTCTCCCAGAAACTGCTGACCCCCCGCCTGTCAAAACTGGGGTCTCAGAAGGATGGAAGGCAAGGTCAGGGCACATGAAAGCCACACTTTAAAGCCACCTCCACAGCCACACCTGCTTCCTCCCAAGCGTAGGAAGTGCTTATAATGTCAACAACAGGATTCCAGGTAAATTCCTTTTATAGTCAATTCATGCAGGCTGTTGTCCTCCCCAGCAAATGGCCCAGTTGCAACCTATTTTCTTCGCTGTCTAAGAGGCAGGCCACACCTGAGGCCCCAGTACTGGGTGGAACAGGGAGGCCCCCGTCTTTGGGGAACGTAAGGGAGGAAACAGAGGTTCCCTCTCCATAGGGAGGCCTAGACAGGCACGTTCTTCAGCCCCACTCCTGGGATTTCACTGGGGTACACTGCCCACCCCCACCCATAAGTCTCACAGGGACCAAGGAAGCTGCTGGCAGGAGAGAGAGTCCTGAAGCCTTGCAGGTAGGGCTTCACTGGCACAACCTGGATTTCAGGTTATACCCCAAACCCCGTCGGTCACCAGTGCAGCGATGGTAGCTGAAGGGTTCAAGCACCACCCAGGCCTCCGAGGGGCAGCTAAATAAAATAAGGCGACAGAGCCAAGCAAGCCTGCGTTTCTCCAAGATAGTTTCTGGTCTTATTCGTTCAGCTGGAACTCTTTTGATGTGTCATCTGTGTTGAATGGTGTCCAAACTGGCAGCGCTTTCTAGTCACGAACATGGAGACCGACTGCGGCTCCGCAGAACAGAGACAAAGCCCCTCGGTCCCAAATGGAGGGGGAGGGGAGGGGGGCTCTGTCGCTTGAGGTCTATCAGACTCCAGGTGAGTCCCTGAGCAAATGGCTCACCTGAACACCCCACCCCCCCACCCCGGGACTGCGCCATGATGAATCTGCTGGGAGGGCACCGGACATCTGTTGGCAGAACACCTGGAAAGCGGCACCTGCACAAAAGCTGCAGCCCACTTCCTGGGCTCCTCCTTGGACGGAAAGGACCTCCTCCTGCAATAAGGAGGGATGCCCAGGTCCTCTGCAGGTGGCGGGGCGTCCCCCCCCTCCCCCACCGAGTTACTCCAGGCCGGTTCTTCCTTGCAAGGACAGCAGGAGCCCGATGTGCCCAGAGCTCCTCTCTCTCTGCCCTCCAGACGGCCCCTTTGCTGGGCCCCAAGGTCCACCTGAAGGCATCCCAGCCTGGATCAGCTCCCCCCTGCCACCCCCCCACCCAACCAAGGTAAGGAACATCTAAGGCAGGGGTCCCCAACCACCGGTCCGTGGACCGGTACCGGTCCGCGGAACAACTCCTACCGGGCCGCTGGCTTGCTGGGTGCCGCCATCTTTTTTTGATGAAAAAGTGCTTCCGGTGAGCTTTTCCGGGTAGAAAGCTCACCGGAAGCACTTTTTCATCAAATAAAGATGGCGGCGCCCAGCTGATGCCGGTACCGGGCCGCGGCGCCCAGCTGATGCCGGTACCGGGCCGTGGGGTACAAAAGGTCAGGTCTCCAGGCAGTAAAGAGGCAGATCATCCAGGGGCGGGGGTGGGAGGAGAACTTCTCAGAGTAGCCCACAAGGAGCCACTGCCAAGCCAAACAAAGCAAACCCACCTAACAGAGCAACTACACACACACACACACACACACACACACACACACACACAGGGAGAGGTTTGCTGGGGGGGAGGGAGACAACGGCCCACCCTCCAAGCAGTTCTGGTTTCACACAGACAAAAGCCTCACTGGGCACCTCGTCCAACCCCGAAGGTGCCAACCTCAGTGGGCACTGGGATTTCCCAAGGCGGCTCCTGCTTAAGGATCAAGGAGGACCATCCTGCTGCGGTAGAGATTAAGGGGGGGGCTCCGGTTTCTCCTGTTTCCCCCCCCCCCCCCGTTCCCCTCCCCTCCGCTTCCCATCCAGAAGCTCCACTTTCAGGGGCCAACCGGGCTCTGAAGAGCTGAGCGATGCGAATATTCCCCTTGCTATGGTCTCCCCCCTCCCAGCCCCCCCCAGCCAAGGCCTGAAAGCCAGGATCTAATGGCTGCTATTGGATGTACAGAACCTGCAGGGCTGAAGACGCTGGCCAGGCGCTCCTTCCTGGCAGATAAACAGGGGCAAGTTATGCCATTATAATCAACCATTCCCAGGGCGACCACAATAACAGGCCTTCTGCTTTATTAATCCCTTCCTGGAGTCCTGCCTGTTGCCCCCCCCACCTCTCCCACCCCCCTGCTCTCCAGGGCATCAGTGCTGGGGGGCCACCATCTGCCAAGCTCAGCCTGCCAGCAGCTGGTAGAGACAGAGGTGAGGCTCTTCCTTCGTTGGCTCCTTTCACTCCCCCACAACAGCCCACTCAGGGGACCTCCACGGACCCTTCAACCACTGAGTTTCCCCACAGGGGCCTGCAGCTGGGCTCCGTCCAGCCCAGCCGCTTCGCTTCCACCTGGCTGTGGGCTCTGCCTCTTCCTTCCAAGCCATTTTGATGGGTCATTGGCAGGCAAAGGCGGCCAATCTTCCTTAAGGGGAGGAAGGACCTCCTGGCAGGCCCCTCTGGGCTGCCTCTGCCTGGCCAATGGTCCCAAGGGAAGAAGACCCACCAGGGCCTCTGCTGCAGGTGGTGGGCAAGTGCCAAGGCCCGCCTTGTCTCAGGGGTGGTGAGAGAAACCCCCCCCCCCCCACACACACACAGATGGGAGCAGTCAGATCATTGGCCAACTGAGGCTGATCTGCCAGCTGAGCTCCAGGCGCTGTTGCTAGAAAGGAGCCCCCTGAAATCCAGGTTGTGCCATGGAAGCCCTACCTGAACCCAACCACACCTGAGAGAACCTCGGCTGCCCCCTCCTCTGAAGCTCAGCCTTTCCTTCAGGGACGGAGCAAATGCCAGGATGGGTCCAGGCTCTTGGAAACTCCCTGCTGTCTGTTTAAGCCAGGG